ACATATATATATATATATATACATATATATACATATATATACATATATATACATATATATAACTTATTGATACGTATACATGATAAAAATAAAAATAAAAATAAAATATTAAATTTAGATATTTTCGGACGACAGAAATGATCTCGCCCGAAAATATGGGACAACTAATACACCACTAATAATTTTTCATTATCCGACATAAATCTCGAGCATGACACTGATCTCGAGACGTTATTTTGAGCAAACAACATTCAAATCTTCATATAAAAGTCATGTAGATATCTGATTTCAGCAAACTTATATTCACATTAACCGGCTCGATGAGACGAACATAATGATATCAAAGTTAGTCTAATCTGAGTCAAATCAAGCTCGGATCAAGTCATTATCGGATCAAGTCATTACGGATCAAGTCATTAAACCATTTTTAGAAGATTTCCATACACATTTGGAAGAAGAAACAAATACCAAATCTAGAAAGTTCAGAATCAAATTGAGCGTCTCGACATGACGAATCCAATGAGTACAATATCTCTCAATTCTAACATTATTAAGACATCCAAATGTCTATTAAACGCCATCTGATTGAAGAAAACTCTCTAGATCATCTGATCAAAATGATTCATATTTATGCATTAATTGCACCTAGAATAATATAAAATAGAGTTACACTCCTTTCATGAATGGGCGCTTGAGTTACACTGCCGACCGCCGTCAACCATCATTGATCGTCGTCGACCACCGCTGATCGTCATCAACCACATTCAATCGCCATTTATCGCAGTCGACTGTCACTAACCATTGTAGACACCTGCCAACTACCGACCACCATTGACAATCACCGATCGTTATCGAGCACCACTAATCAGACACCGTCTGTCTACATTATAATTTGGAAAAATCTATTAACCATTTTCTGTTTGTGGGATAAGAAATTTTTATAATCATCAATTAATAGTGAATTTTTACAACTGGGTCAGACGCCGTGATTTTTTCCCGTTAAGGGTTTTTCACGTAAAAACATAAGGTGCATCACTGATTGTTTTTATTTTATTTGAGTGTTTGCTGAATTCTCGTGCAACGCTAAGACGATCATCCATTAATCTACTAGCAAACATCAATAAGAAGAGCAGGTAAATGCCGAAAAATTCTCATAATTAAATATGATGGTTAAGAAACTAGATCAAAGAAAATAAAGGTGTATGAATTTTTTCTCAGATCTCAACTTCATGAGTCTTCTCACATTCAATAATCATTGGTACTATTTTTTTAAATAGAATTTAATTTTAAAGAATATATTTTAATATTATTTTCTTATAAATATTACACACACACACAAATACAACCAAAGTTTGGATATTAAATATCAAATTGGGGTATATATGTAAATATTTATTTATAATTTTGCGTTATGGCTTGCCCAACCGTCGTAAGTACATGAAAGCCATAGTCAACCAGCCGACGCACTCTTTGTTTAGAAGGTAACTTCGATTGGCCACACAGCATTTAAAGAAATAAATCTGAGATATAAGAAAATCAGGTCAATGCCGAAAATTTCTCGTAATTAAATACGGTGGTTAAGAAACGAGATCGAAGAAAATAAAGACGTATGGATTTTTTCCCAGATCTGCACTGCAATTGAATTGGAGAAACCCTGCCTATCTCTTCCAATTCTCGCTTCCTTTTTTTCCATGAGATCTCCTTCAATCCAGCGATCTTCTGGGTAATGCTCCCGCAGCAGATTGCAGGAATCCTAGTTCCAGCAACCTCAGCAGCAGGCCGACATCCTAATCGCAGATCTTCGCCGGAGGGAGAGCGCAAGGAGCCAATCTCCATTTGTCGAAGGAAGCGAGAGGATGAGCGGTAAGCTGATCTCGCAGGGTCCGGCGGTCACCGGCCGGCTGTTCACTGCTGGATTGGTGATCTCTTGGTACTCGTCCAACATTGGCGTGCTGTTGTTAAACAAGTACTTGCTGAGCAACTATGGCTTCAAGTACCCGATCTTCCTCACCATGTGCCACATGACGGCTTGCTCGCTGCTCAGCTACGCGGCGATCGCTTGGATGAGGATTGTCCCGATGCAGGCTGTGCGTTCGCGGTTGCAGTTTGTTAAGATCGCTGCGCTTAGCTTTATTTTCTGTGGATCCGTGGTAAGCGGCAACATCTCGCTAAGGTACCTTCCGGTTTCCTTCAACCAGGCCGTGGGCGCCACCACGCCCTTCTTCACCGCGGTTTTCGCTTACATTGTAACCGTGAAGCGTGAGGCTTGGATCACCTACGTCACGCTGATACCGGTTGTCACTGGTGTCATCATAGCTAGTGGGGTGAGTTGGTGACGTTATGTTGCTTTTATTTTGTTTCGAAGTGGCTGATCTGTGGAATATTTTATTTTATTTTACACTGCAGATCTCACAACTCTCGTAACTGCGATCTTTATGGTAGTTTATTGATTTGAATCTATTTTTTTATAGTGGATTTATGGAGGAGCACGGCATTTATCGTTTTTGTGTGCTGCTCTACCCTCTCTTTAGGCTGTGCCAATTGTTCTTTGAGAAATAATATGTCTTAATACCGACAAGTTCATATTTAATTCCTGTGCTGCTCCGGTCTTGAATTTCTGCTTTTTTTTCTTCTTCTTACAAAATTGGCTTTGTTGTATTTGCTGCTTATGTATGTTGATTCCTGAAGTTATGCTGTTAATTTGTTCTGACTTTCTGTTGTCAACTTTTTGGTTCTTACAACTTCTATTTTTGTTTAATGTGGCAGTGACACAGTTTTACAATTTCTTAGTTACTTTTCCTGGAAGACAGGACTTGCACTCAATAATAGGTCATCATCATTATTATCATTTTCATAATTAGCCTTATCCCAACTATTTTGTGTTAGCTTTACAAATGCACTAATTCAAGTTGAGTGCTATGTGAGAAACTTTATTTCTTACAACTCTTATCTGCATTGTTCGAACTCCAGACTGATTAACTAGTTTTCATTCTCTTTGGATTTCAACTGAAGTAGCTGGTTGTTATATTATTAAAATCCTAGATTATTAGCTTTATTCATGACTAGCGATGTGAGAGGCTTGGTTTCATTTTCTTCTTTACTTCTCCGTAATGGTTTTGATTACCCCATTATTATCATGATAAACATTTTCATTATTTGGTGGAACTGTTCATTCATCATTTACCTTTTGGTTTGAGCTCCTGTTCTTATTTATAACTAAAGTATAAACAAAGGTGTTCCACATACATAACCTTTGTTTTATATGGTAAGGCTTGAAAATGTGACTGATATGGATGCATGTTGGCAGTGATTTCTCAGAGCTCCTAATCATGTTATCTTGTGGCAGCCAAATTGTTTGTGGATAAAATTGAGAATATGAGGAAAGCATTGAGGTCATGTGTGGATAGCATTTATAATGTCATCAATAATATAAGACCAGTCATGAGTTTCTGTGCAAATTGATGAAATCAAAAGTAACGAGTTTAGGTATTCTTATGGTCTAGTGTAAATTATTCTACCGCCTATACTCATGCATTAACACCTATCTTTTTAAGCTCAGTATGTTAAATTGGATTTACATTATAATTTATCTAGTTAGGCAAAATATGATCAAAAAATTAAATCAATAGCATGTTGTATGCTTTGAAAGTGATGATATTTGTCTTACAGATTGTTAGTGTATGATCTTTTAAACCAAATGATTCTTGATTTGGATCTTCAGGTGTATTCAAATTTTTAACATCTTAGAATCTATAAGCACTATGGCATAAATCACTTTTTTTTTTTAATTTTTTGAAAGCACTTTAATTGATGATATTCATGGTTTTCCTAAATCTTGTAGGAGAATTTTATTTATTTATAGATGAAGCAAATATTTCTGTCTGATAATTGAAAAGGAATTTTAGCCCGAAGATCATATTTGTTTTTGACTTTGTCTTATTTGCGAATGATACTTCATAGCGTTGTTACTGTTGTTCAAATGTTAATTCACACGATGACGATCAATAGCCAATCTAGCTATAACATTCATACAACTTTCATTAGGATGTCAATTCGGGTCAGTGGATCGGGTTGGGTCCGACCCGAATAGGGTCAACCTGAACCCGAACTGAAATTTTGTGCTTATTCGAGTCATTTTTAGGTTTTTGGTTAAACGGGTCGAAAGCTAAGAACCGAGCCCGGCCCAAACCCGAGTTTGACCTGCTAACCCGAACCCAAACTGAAATTTTATGCTTATTCGAGTCATTTTTAGGTTTTTGGTTTCAACGTGAACCGGCCCGAAAAATAAACGGGTCGAAAAATATTCGGTTCAACCCTAGCCCGAATTTTTTAAATTGAGTTCAAGTCGTGTTGTCATGTCTGGTCAATTTTTGACACCTTCAACTTCCATTATCTATTAAATACTTAAAAAAATTATTGTCATTTAAAAAAGTTTAGAATATTAAGGCTCTTTTACAAAAAGATTCAACTTTTGTTGCAATAATAATATATCTTATAACATTTAAACAATCTTCTCCTGAAGGAAATTTAAGAAGTTTTTTTAATATAAAATTCATGATTATTATCTCCTTCATTAATTTTCTTGTTAGCCCTTCTTTCACATTAACATCCAACATCTTATTTGTATATTTGTTTGCATAATGACTAGTCTGATGATATTTAAAACAGTTTTGTTGAAATTTCAGAACTTAATGTATTGACTATGGACTTTTTGTTGTTATACTTATTATCGCGCATTACTAATCATAAATGCTATATCTGTAATATTTTTGTGGCCTAGTGTTTTCACGATAATGTAGATTTTTAGTTTATGCACTGTCCCCTTTATTAGGAAGTCTAGTATTGCTCAAAATCTAATTGAAGTTGAAAAAAAAAGCACAATTGATGTAATAATGTGGATTTTCATCACTCTTTTAATGTCACACCTTACATCAAATTGAGCCTAGAAAGTGCTATTTTGTGCTCTTCCACTATTTCAGAAATTATCAATAGCCATCTAAATTTGTTTAACATATGCAAGAATAATATTAGTTCTTTGCTTTAATCATCAAGCAAATGATCATGATAGGTCAATGGACGATATTTTTTTTAAGTATATTCTTCACTCTGACCCAAGTAATTATATGTTGTTTAACAAGCCCATTTTATTTTCTCAGGCTCGGTTTTATTTATATTTATATTTTTTTTTGCTTTCCCAATTAATTTTGAAGTCCTGCCTAACTCTCATCAAAAGTAACTCGTCTTTCAAAAGATTATCCATATCCATAACCCAATTATAAAAGTGTTTAGCATCTATTTTCCTAAAATATGTTGATGGTTGAAAGTTCTCATTTCTTGGTTGTTTCATCATCCAACAACAACAACAACAACAACAAAGCCTTAATCCCACTACGTGGGTTCGGCTACATGAATCCTTTTTCTCCATTGCGTCCTATTTACACAATGATCCAAAGGATTCATGTCATGATTTTTTCGACAAGTTTTACCCTGGCTGTCGACTACCTAACGCAACCCTCCACTTTTCTCATCCGGGCTTGGGACCGGCAACGGCAGTGTTTCATCATTGTGTAAATAGGTTGATGTCTGAATATTGGGACCTAAAATATGTTGATGGTTGTTTCATCATCCAAAGCATAAATTTGATGTCTGAATATTTTTACTGCATTGATTTGTCTATTTTCTTGCCAGACTGACATTTAGATTAGGTTTTTCATCTTAAGATTAAAATTAACTTTTTGTCCATTGGGTTGAGAATGAAATGCTTCCAAAATTTTAGTTCTTCTAAATTATTCACAAATTTTTCTTATTTGTTTTGTTTTAAATGTCAACCTGATTAATTATTATTATTTTTTGTGTAATCTTAAGAATAGCACAACCACGCTGATCTATCAAATGGTTTTGTTGTTCACCTTGTTTTAATTGACATTATGGCATTAACTTGCTTTAATACCAAATTTGATGTTGGTCTTTTTAGGGTATAGGGTTTGTAATGCGGCACAAATATGAGATATAAACATAAAGCGTTAAACACCACAAAACATTATTTCAAAACAATTGTTGATTGCTTTGATAAAAAAAATAAAAAAGTATTCTGAAAATAAATTTACATGAAAAAAACCAATGGCCATCTATAAATTAATGATGAGAATTAGGACCAAGAAAGCAATAGGCATGATTGAAACTCAAACACAATCCTACTTTCAAATGATATCGGAAATGTTGAACTTAGAAGAGTAGAAAAATGGAGAAAATAGAAACAATCTACTAGAAATTTAACCTCATGCTTTTAGAAGGAAATAACCCTTTGAAATTTTTCAAGTCTTTCACTTGATTGAAAGTTGAATTCCATAAGCAGGGGTTGGAAATCTAACTAAAAAAATTATCCATCCATTAATGATTTTTTGTGCATGTTTTAGCTCCTATTTAGAATTTCAAAACCAAGTGAAAATTTCTTTCCACCAATTGCAAAAGTTTTGGAATGTCACTGATAGGAATCGACGCATATTTCCACAAAGAAATTAGGGCAAAAAATAATTTTATTTCACGAACACCAAACACAACACAAATATATAAAGATAAACACCTACAATTCGAGAGGTAGGACTCTCCCAAAGGAAATCTCTCCCAAACCCTAACCCTAAGATACAAGACCTAATCTCATGCATAATCCTAAGCCTAAACTATTAAGCCCTATTTATACCAACCAATAATAAATAATAAAAACTAAATGGCCCTTAGGGAAGTCACCGACATAACAATCACCAAATCTTGTGAGGTAATGACATAATAATGGATATCTATAACATAGAATTCATCGATGAATATGCAAAATCCTTCAGATACATGTGATGAAACTGAAGAATGTTGTAAATAGCTATAGATGACTAAATAATGGACCAATCAAAGATAGTGCCAAAAAGTTGCATAACATTGGAAAGCCAAAGGTAGTTGTAGATGAAAAATAAGAGATTGGCTATAGGGATCAAATACAAGGGAGTCTTCTTAGCCATAGTAGGATGTGGACTAAATTACTAATCACAATAAACTTGCATAATTGGGTAGCATCTTAGGTATGGTGATACATCACCTAGCAAAAACTAAAATAAATTAAAAAGTTATATTAAACTATAATTCAATTAAAATATCAACTTTTGGGGTAATTATCATTGTATAAATATTTTGCATTTTTGATTATTATCGTCATACAACTTTGTGCTCTTGGCGATGACTAGTTATGGTTCCTATTGTCCGGCTTATTATTGCTCAAGTAGGGCCCCCCTCTCCAACTTTCTCAACAATATTGAGAACTCATACATATCTCGAG